GCATCAGCATTCTTACATATGTAGAGCTAACATCACTTGTTATACTTTGGAATTATGTAATACAGCTAGATACCAAGTGATTTGCATTTTTCATGTACTTTCTTTTATTATTAGGGAAGTAAAAGAAAGGAAAAATTGTTGGATTCAAAATATTATATGATTTACTTCAAAAAAATATTTTAGATGACAAAATGTTTAATTTTTCTTTTTGTATACTATGTATATTGTAAATGTTGTTATATTTTAATTATTTCTGTTTTTTTAAAATTTTATTATTATACTGTATAATAACCTTTCAAAAAAATAAAGAACAAAAATATCAATCAAATAAAATTATAAATATTTGCATAAAATATTAAGGTGACGAACCTGTATTTTAAAAAAATTAATCAGGTTAAGTAGTAAGGTGTTGATCTTTGTTTCTTAAGGGTTCTCAAGATCTATAATTTTTTTTTTTTGTAAAAAAGTACCCGCAATATAATTCAAAATTAGGGATTATGGTCAAATTTGTCACTTTATTACGAATTTATATAGAATTTTGTTACTATACTTCAATTTTATTGAATGTACACCATTATATTTTTAATTTTTTCTATTTTGGATAAAAGGAACAAAATCGACGGAAAGTTGCCTCTTACATTAACAAAATATTTCATAAAATATTTCAATTTTGTTATTTTTTAATCCAAAAATTAATAAAATTAAAAATATATAACCCTAAAATTTTATAAAGTACAATGACAAAATTCAATATTAAATTATAATATAGTGACGTCAATTTCCTTGCAATTATAATTTCTCATTAAATCTCTGTCTCACGTTTACTTCTGAACCTAAGTGACAAATTTAGAAATTAAAACTCATTTATGTGTTAAATGACCCTTTAAAAAGTTAACATGTATAGATATTACAATTGGAGAAGCAAAACGACTTTAACAGCAAGCACAGCTCATTTCATTTAAAAAAGTTATTAGTTTAATATATTCAAGCTTCACTCCATTATTGAACCTAATATATAAATAAAGTTGATTTAATCCAGTCAAGTTTAATTGGAGCACTTGTGAAATCCAAATATCTAACATGTGAAAGGCATTCAGGACATATTCCAAGCTTACCAAGTAAAAAGAAGGAAAAAGAAGAAAGCAAGCCATCTGTCGGTGACTTGATTGGTTCATGGCAAAATTGACTAAATAAATTAAAGGCTTACAAAGCAAGCTGTTTCAGCAATTTCCAAAAGCAACAGATGCAGTAGATTATGTTGTTTCCATCTTGGCTAAGAGTTATCTCATCGTCATCCTTGCAAAGATTCATTGCTTCGCCATGGCCTTCTGTTTTTGAGCCATCGTGGGGCTTTGATACGTGGTTGATGACCCTTGATATCGAAGCTGCAACAACTTGGAATTAGATGCTGATCAGAAAAATGGAAAGCAAGTTCTTCCTTAGAGATAAAGAAAAGGTAAAAAACGTCAATCGCAAACATAATCACCCCAAGGCAAGTCCTGGTGCTTGTTGTTCTTCTTGTGGTTCATCCAAGGAACATAATTCCAGATGCCATGACAGTTTAATAGAGTTTGCTTGCAGTGCTTGTTTCTTCTGTGTTTTTTGCCCTCTTTCGATTGTTTGGTGTTGTGCCAAGTTGCCATGTAAGATTGGATGGCGCACTGCACGGTATGCAATCAATTGGGCTTGTTGCGGATCAGATAAGAAGGTTTTTGTAGAATACTCTTCATTTTCTGACATTGATTTGGATGATCTGACGAGTAAATCACCTAACAACTCCTCTTATCCTTTCAATTCTGCGAGGAGTAGGACTAGCCATAGGACTAATGACTCACGGCGTAACTGGTGTTCCTGTTGCAGCTATACATAATCATAGTTTGCCTGTTGTTGATATACTAATTTTTTTGTGGCATAAAATCAGTTGAATCTCAAAACAAATAGATATGCGCCTTCCTGTTCTCTTCTCCTGCCTGGTATGGGGTGTGGGTCTTGTCCTTAGTTTTGAAAAGGTTGTAAACGTTTAACATATGCTTTGATGCTGCTGTCTTGATCACCATTCCTTCATACTGTGGTTGGGTTCTGGAGAAAAGGAAAGGAAGGACTGGAGAGGGAGAAGAAGGTAAGAAACCGACTTTTCGAGTTAAGGAGGATTTTACAGATTACTTGTCTGCGTTTTCATTACCAAATATTGGAAGAAAATCCAGTTGCCTTAAAAAATCCAAAAGTCCAGATGAACTGCAATTCTGCAACTTCCCCCTGTTTTCTCGACCCCATCCCCTCCCTTGCAATAAAACTTGAAGTCTGCAAGGACCTAAGTTGTGTCCCTGGAAGTTGCAGATTTATAAGTCAAGCACTTGAAATCGGATCATCCATGTTGTGGAGATCTTCTAGATGGATAATATATTTTAGTGGTCTAGCTCCTGAGCCTTGAGACTGGTTGATCAACAACACTGGCTTTCCTTAAGATCTATCTTCCTTGTAGTAAATCTTGCTGATCAACCGATTAATGTTGTAAGGGGATCCTCAACGCAAAGATATGCTCCATTTTTGAGTAAAACCGAAATTAATCTTCCAACGGCAGATACCACGCTGCCTCTGTCAAGTCATTTGGGAAAGCAAAATATATGGTAAAGACAGGTACCACGCAACCTTTGTCAAGTCATTTGGGAAAGCAAGAATATATGGTAAAGACAGTACCACGCAACCCTTGTTAAGTCATTTGGGAAAGCAAGAATATATGGTAAAGATAGCTAAAATGCTGTCAAGAATGGGATTCGAACCCATGCCCTTTCGGACCAGTACCTGAAACTGGCGCCTTAGACCAACTCGGCCATCTTGACTTTCTGGTCCATAAATGGAAAACTGATCTATTTAGAGTTGTATTTTAGATTCCCACATATATCTTACGCGCGTAAACGTTCGGGCCTCGCTTGCATTGTCAGAATGCGTAAAAAATTTGGGCTAATCACAAACAAAAGTTAATGCCATAGAGTCAAGAAGGCACCAATTTAGAGTGTTACATTTCTAGCTAGAAAAGAAAGAGAGAGGAGGATGATAGTAAGCAGGAACCAGAAGCAAGTAGACTGTTACAGATTTTGGGAGTTAAAGACCAGACAATCAAATCGGAAGACATAGGGTTCAGTCAGGCTATCCCACAACAGCCTCTGCAGCAGCCATGGTAGCCTTAGGTTGGAACATTAGGTGGATAGGTGAGGCCCCAACACTATTCCATTGTAATGGACTGATCCAACGGTTCAAACCCAACTTTTATAACAGGCAACGGGTATGGGATCAGTTACAAGCTTTTGCTGCAAATTTATCCGAAAATGGTTGTTGGGTGGTTCTTCGTGACCCCAATCAAGTCCAAAAGGCCAAAGATAAAAATTCTTTTAAAGATCAGACATTGCTAGGTGCCAATAATTTGAGAGAATGCATTTAACACCTTCAATCTCACTGAAATCCCTCCAAAGGGCCAACATCTGACTTGGACCAACGACAAGGATGGGCTGGATCTAGTTTGGAAAAAGACTTGATGGAGCTTTTGCCAACCCCTTCATGGATAAGGAGGTTTGATAATGCCTTCCTCCTTAATCTACGGGTTTCCTTTTCTAATCATGGTGCCGTAGTACTGTTCACTGAAGAACAGAAACCCTTTAGAAGAACACCGTACAGGTTTGAAGCCATGTAGATCACGCATCCACAATGCAAAGAAATTATCAATAATGTAGAGTAAAATCATGTACCGGAACCTCCACCTTTGACCTTATTCAGAAGCTTATAAGGGCCAAAAATGACCTGTAAAGATGGAAAAGAGGTGTTTGGAAATCTTAGGGAAAGAAGAAAGCTGCTCCAACAGGACTTAGCATTGTTTCACCAAAAGCTGGATTCTCAAAAAGCATGCAAGACAGAAAAGGACTTAAAGGGTTCAACTGGAATTGTTAGCTGTTCAAGAGCAATTTTTGGATGCAGAAATCAAGACTTAACTGGATCATTCAAGGGAAGAGGAACACAAAGTTTTACCACAAGGCCACACCTCAAAAGAAGGATTAGAAATAAAAACCACAAGAATCTCCACTAAAAGGGATAACCAGGTCTCGGGTGAACAAATTCTGGTGAAGGCCTTCTAAGCCTATCACAAGGATCTATTAACCAAAGCAGAGGCCTTGCTTGAAAGACCATTTGAGGCCAAGGAAGTCAAAGCTGGTGCTTTTCAGATTCGCCCCATGAAAGCTCCAGGCATTGAAGGCAAACCAAGTATTTTTTTATATAAAATTGTGCGAAATCCTGGGAGCCCTTACTACTGCCTCATCTTTTTATTTCTTAAACGCAGGTCACATGCGTAAATGCTTAAACAAGACACTTATTACCCTTAATCCCTAAAATTTGGAATCCTACAAAGTCATTGATTTTAGGCCATTAGTTTATGTAATGTTGTAAGAACTTTTGTCAATGGACTGGTGACCAATTATGGAAGACCTAATCGTCCCTTTCCCGAATGCTTTCCTCAAAGGAGATAACTTTGTGGCTTGTCTATGAAACAGTTCTAAAGGTCATATTTTATGGATTAAATTCACCTCATTCTTGGAGATAACTCCATCTGTGAATTGAATTCGATGGAAAACTTGAGCCGCTTAAATGTTGTAGAACAGTTAGATATATATCCCCCATTCATTACAATATGCTAATTAGATCATAGTAGCACTTTCTCCATCTCTCAGGAAGGTTGAGATGTGGCCCAAAATTAGAAAACAGGGAACCGAGAAATATGCATATGCTTTGTTGATTTGCAGGATTACTGAAAGAGAGATCGAACTCTCTAGCTTGATCTGATCGGTATGGTAATTGTTCATATCAATTAATTAGAGAGGTGAAGAAGTAACATGCAGCATGCTGTTCCCTGCACTCTAGGAAATTAATGACGAGTTATAGCAGCTCACATCAAGTATAGTGAGATCATTTAGTCACTACACACTCAAAATTAGAATGTCCCTTAACCCCGGAAACATAGATGCATGTAAGCTACCTACATATGCTTTATCATAGCATAATTATTGTACTTAGTTGGAGGGAGCATCAGTGCAAACATGGAAAATTAAATGAGTCTTGACATTCACTTTCCATGATAATTGGAATCAGTTCTCTAGGACAACAAAAGGCATATATGGGGAAGGTGCAGCTTTATAGTATTCCTTAACAGCAGCCAGTTGGCTCACTTCACTTACAATTGCATAAACCTTGATAGTTAGTACATCATCTTTGCAATTCTCTCTCCAAAAGTGGCAAGCACAGCCACTCCTTAAGACAGAATAATTAAGCTAAATGGAACTTGTCCGAGCATTCTGGTTTGTACAAGTAATGAGGAAGAGACGATTCATCCACCACAAGCTGCACCACAACCTGCACCGCCACAATCAGCAGCACATCCTCCGCCATAAAAATTTGTATCACCTGAGGAAGATTTGTCCTTGGATACACCATCTGCACAAGAGAAGATTATGGCTGAAATCAAAGAAAGAGTGAGCAAAGCTGCCCAAAAGAGTAGGCAAGCACCACCGATCCCACCAATCCCATCTCCATTCTCAGTAATTATTTTCAGTTCCCTTACCATGTTCTCTCTCTCTCTCTATCTTCTTCCCCAAGTCTTCAGTAGTGGTATCGGAGGATAGTGGCTCTCGATCCGTGTGTCAAATGAGCATTCCAAACTGAGGCCGTGAGTCTTCTTATATATATGATATTAGGTCAATGACTTAGCATAATAATAATAATACTATTTTCTCCAAGATCCAAAATACCGTAATGAGATATTTCTCTTTTACTTCCTCCCTCTGCTTTAAGGCCTCAGCTTTTAGTGATTCTTCTTGCTTGCACAAGATTTGGCAGGCAAAACCATCAGATTTGACATGAAAATAGTGGGTCAACAGCACTACAATATCATGTATGATGGTTGGTTTTGCATGTACTTCCACTCTTTCTGGTCACAAAAAAATTGATTAAGAGGCAGGCAAGCTATATTAACTTCCAAATGTCATTTTAATCCATGACAGTCGAATTCTGAGCATGTGTGTGTGATCAGCACTAATTTGTTAGTTGGGCACCATCTTGCAAAATAATTCAATTATTTAAGAAACACTTTTCGTAAGTGGTTATTTGGGCAGGCTGGAACCAGTCCAAACTTATCCTTAAGCTACTGTGCAAAAAAGGGTTTTAAATGAAATTATTTGTCTAAGTGGACACTACAGCTTTAATAATAGAAACTTTTGAGAGTTTCCACATATACCTTAAGTAGTTTGTGGAGGCCAATTAGAAATTGGATTTGGCCTTAATCATTCGAAAGCTGCAGAATTTATTGTGGATCTTGCTAGGTTAGTTGGCTTAATTATTCCTACTCTCTTAATCTCTCTTCACGTGCTTTATGACTCTGGTTTACGTTTTTCATGTAGCATCACAAAACACATGTACCACTATGTTCTACTTCTAGCAAATCCTGATGAAGTTTCTGAATTCTGAAAAAAGTATGGTACCCCACCAAACAAATGGAGAAGCACTGCATCAGGGCAATTTCAGTCAATGTCTTCGTTAACCTATGCAAAACTCCCACTTTCATCAGCTAATGGCTTGACGTTGCACATTCTGCCATCTTGTAACCTTTATAGAAATGGCCAGGAAAATTACAGAATCAAATTTCCATTGTGGAACCAAGTGTCAACAGCTGCTCCATGCATCAACTTGACTGGTGCATGGGGTGTACAAATGGAACAACACCTTCAACACCATTCCTTAACATGGATTTTAGCACAAAATTTCTTATTCGAAACCTATTAAACAATCGGTTAAAACTGATGAAGAAAAATGTGATCACGCACTTCAAGTTATGAAGTTTTGGTTCTATGTAACTATATCTAGATCCATAGTCATATACAGAAAACCTAGGTGCAGTGGACCTTGATAGGATACAATTAATCTAAGTTTTCCTTTCCGGTGTGCTAATCTATTAAAGATACAGAGAAGGTGGGAAAGGAAGTGGAGAGAGAGACTTGTGGACGTTCCTTTGGTCAACCCGGAAATTAAAGTGGTAGTGGTCTGAAAGTGGACAGCAACATAAAGGTAATTCATAATTCATTCTTAACTCAACAGGGTTTTACTTTCTGTTGGTTTAATGGTACCAGAGTTTTTAAGCTATGGTGCCAAACTTCCATAATGATACATAATTAATTCCGGCTTTCCTTTCAATGCATTTTTAATCCAACATGTAAATCCGATTTATTAGATCACCCATCAAACATATTTCATTAGCTTCTGTTCCATGGTAAGAACTTCAAATATACAGTACAACAATGATTTTGTAGTTTTTACATGTTTATGGACATGTACATCTGCAATGGAAACAAAGAGGAAATCCCGATTTTGCACGCTACTATGTTATTTATGCGTGTTTCTTCTCCTTTACTGGTCCTCTCGGTATCTTGTTAAGAACTCTTGAATCAAACCTTCTGTACAGTTTGCTCGCCCTCCGGGTCATTTTCCCAGCATGATAATCAACTTCATTCTCGTATTTAGTGTACAGGTATGGCAGGGTCTCCATGCAGAGAAAGCCTTAAGCAATAAAGAAAAACAAATTACACCAATGCTAAATGCCTTGAAATTACATGATTTGATGACAGATTATCTTACCAATGAACAGAAGATTCACAAAGTCGAAATAGGATCCGATCACTGATATTATGTACAGAGAAACAATTACCTGTTGATAATTAATATAGGGATAGAAAACAGAAGGGCATAAGTGAAGTTTTTGGGGACTAAATCAGATTTATAGAATGCAGAGAGTGAATAATGATACCAAAAAGAAGTGAACGGGTTCTTTTCCACCAGCAATGTGAAGGAACTTTGACAAGAATTGATTGAACCTCCAATGGAAGGCGGAAACAACTTCTCTGAAGGCATGTTCGTTCGACAACAACTCAGGGATCTTCGGGCGAGTCCTGGAGATGAATTACGAATCAATTTGGGTTGATGTGCCAGAAAACAAGGTTGCACTTAACACGAAAATTTAGATCGTGATCAAGAGAAAACTACCATCCAAAATAATCTGCAGTCATGCACCATATGAAGATAACAAGCATTGTGGTGATGGAGATGTGACAGAGAAGGGTCACGAAATTGTACTCAACCACCTCGAAAAGAAACCATATGGCTGTCACTCCAATTAATAACGAGGCTGATAAGTTTCTTTCCCTCCATAGTAATACATCAGCAACTGAAATTTCAATTTCTTGATGGTCAAAATTTTACCTTGGATGGTAATCAAAATTATTATCAGGAAGATCTAGATATATGGCGAGTGCCATGGCAACTAATTTTCGATTGGTTAAAGTGAATCCCAAAATTGTTCAGTAAATGATTCATTTGACAATGACACGCAACCAACGAAATATGAGTCAAGTGATTGCTAAATTTGCAGTCATAAAGACCACGTGCAAGTGCAGCCATTTTTGGTATGCTGCCTGCAATAATGCCCTAAGACTAACATGGTTTTGGTAAAGCCTGGTGTAGGAAGGAAGGAAAAGTAGAAGAACGGAAACGAGCTGTCGCATCCTAAACCATTGGATTAAAGCATTTCCCTTCTTTCCAACTTTCCTTCTTACCAAACAGTGAAAGTAAATGCATGCATATAGATATATTACCTTTCCCTCCTCCAAGTATAGCATGCATAGGCCTTTCGCGTCCAAACAGCTTTACCCGTGGGATGGTCTCATCATCGGACTCTGAGGATTCATATATCGGCATGGTTGATTATATCCTCGTGGTTGTGTTGTTGTTACCAAAAACAATGTTCTGTCACCTTTGGCATCGAACCAATCTTATATATGAAAATGGAAGGGGGGGGGGGGGGGGGGGGGGGGGGTTGGGTTCTGTAAGCTTGGTAAGAAAGAAAGTAGTTGCCACAATAAAGAAGAAAGGAATGGCTTGGGGCTTTTCCTTTTCAAAGGTTGTTACTTAACATGCCCGCTACTGACAAAAGTAGTGAATCTTCAACCTTGGCGTAGGAACCCAACAGATTGCATCAATTTCACTTATACTCTTATTATGTCAAATTGCAACGTGTGACAGGAATAAAGCTCCAAGTAGATTCTGGTTAGCAACCCTTTTCATTTGCTTTACTTTGAGACAACTTGATTCACGTAGGCATTGATGCTAAAAACTCTTGATCTTTTTAGAGGCATTGAAAACTCTCTTCCCCACTAGTCCTCTAAATATTGCCACAGTGCGCCACGCATGAAATTTTATATATTTTGGTTAATAATTATAAATGGCTATGTCATCATAAAGGCAACATCAACTTGTTGCTTTGTATTCTCAATGATTAATAAAAATAATAAAGAAAAGATGTTTATTGTTAAAAAAAGGGGGGGAAGATGTACAAAACTAAGAAATCATTGCTAAAAACAATAAGGAATTCTTTTATTTTTCTTTTACATCTACAAGGATGGAAGTCCAAAGGAGAGGAAGAATTTGCATCTTATACTTATTTTGCCTAATTTAATTTTAACTTATATTTAATTATAAGTATAATATTTAAAAATATTTTTAAACTATTTAAAAAAATTTAAATAAGTATTCATTTTTTAATATATTCAATCAAGTCCATATACTTTTATTTTGACTTAAATAAACCTCTACAATTAATAGTTAACTAGCTAACTTTAGTCAAAATATCAATTATTATATTTTATATCATATGGCACTGACGTGACATGTTGATATGTTATCATAGATGATGATGATATTAGAACACTGAACTGAAAAAATCGAAATGGCTTCAAAGCTTGTAACAATATCATTGTCTTTAAGATTTTATTTGCTCCCACTGATTGTGTGCAAAATGGTTGCACGTGATAAACTTCGAAGATATAATGAAGTTTAGTGATTGATTGCATTTTGCACTGACAAAATCAATCTATTAAACATCCACTGATATTTGGCAAGATTACCTAGAATTCTATAAGATTTTCTACAACAAAATGATATAGAAGAAAATCTGAAGAATTTTGAAAAGGAAAGAGAGATTTGTTCTTTGTTGTTTCTATGTGGTTTTTGTTTCAGAGGAAAGTCTTATTTATAAGCAATTGAGACAATTTTCCAACAAACACAACTTTGTCTGTTTAAAACAGACATTGTCTATTTCTCTTCATTTCTAACAATTATGTCTATTAGTTTTCCAACAGACATAATTATTTTTCAAACAATAGACATAATTGTTTTGTTCATTTCCAACAATTATAGTTATCTGTTGACAAATTTAAAAAAATAATTTTTTATTTGTCAGCACCTGCACGTGCCACTTGTCCAAGTGCCAAGTACCATTATAAATAATTAAATATTAAATTTTATTAACTTCAAGCCCATCCATGGTCCATTGCCTACTAAATTCAAGTTATATTAGATTTATACTCCTTTTTTATTTAAAGTATTCTTTTTTTTATTTTTCAATGTGGGATTGTGTTCTTCATTCATTGTTGTTGAAAATATCCAACAATCTCCCACTATTTTCAAATAATCCAAATTTTCGATAATCTTGTAAACTGATTGCGTAAATAAAGGTATCTTCCAATTAAACCTTCACTGAGTGAAAACGAGTTAAACTTAATCGAAATTGTATGGTAGTTTATGCTTTGAACTGACTATTCCATTTGGTTAACCGAACACATCTCATATAATGATTTCAATACTAGTGATGATGCTTTTATGGTCATGCATCAAATCTTTTTTCATCAATGTTGTTAGAGCTAAGCTGATGAGCTCTTAGAAGTGACCACACATCACATTCACATAGGTAGATTCCATTAGGAATGCCTCTGTAACTAAAGAATTCTAACAAATTTATGTTATGGGTCCATTAAGAGTATGTAACTCATCCCTT